GTGTGTGGTTGGAGTTGAGAACTACTAAGCCCATAGCCATGCCCTTATTCAGGGGAGGCAGCACCAGGTGGGTGATAGGATGAGATAGCTTTTCGCTTTTTTACCACTGAGGCTTTGATTCTGTCATGACCAAAATTCCACATGGGAAATTTTATTTTTAATGATTCCCCTTCTGAAATTTTTTACAATTGCTATTGTGGTTCAGAGAAGCAGAGACTTAGATTCTTATGTCCTAGCCAGTTCTGCCTACTTAGCAGTGAGGACTTGACCTGATACTAAATATCAGAAACACTGGTTAAAAAAAAATCAATTGAAGAGTATGCACAAGTACTTTATTAAATTTCTCTTAAAATTATATAAACATAATTTCTTATGCTATGTAATTGAGTTATAATTTTCATCTTATAACTTTAAACACTCTCAAATTAAGGCAGAACCATTTTAAGAATCAAAATCCTATTGAAAATGTAATTTATAACTACTGAAAAATATGTATATACATGTTATACCTGTCATAGTTTAAATTAAATGATGAGGTTGTCTCCGGTAATGAGGTTTGTTCATTGCATCTATTCCACAAGCATAAAAATAACCCTTACTAACTCACTGTTTTACTAGGTTGGACGCTTGCTGAAGTAGTTGACAATAAAAAAGTTAAGCAGCTGTTCATGGTGAGCTGAAGTGGGACAGCTGTGGGCAAGACGGGCACAATAAATGCTATAGGAGACACCAAAGCAGAGCTTCAGACGCTTTGGCAGGGCAGTGAAATGCTACGAACAAGCAATAATAGACTGGGCATTTTCCCAGAAGTTTTCAAAGAACTCAAGGATATTTTGCAAATGGCCATGTTACCATATGCCTGAGACAAATTGAAAATTCGTAGCAGGTGACTCTGCTTATAAAGATTCCAAGGAGACTCCGGTATTCTATAGGCCAGGCTCCTTTTGTTAACAGGGAGCTTGAGCTGATATTGTATAGTATATGCACTGGGAGGGAGCTTCATGTTCTCTGATAGACATGAGTTATGCTTCACTAATATAATTTTTTTGAGGGAGGAAATACCCTTATGAGGACAAGGTGAGCCAGTAGACATAATTTTTTAAATTATGAAATATATGTACAATAAAGAGTATAATCAATCAAACAAGTACAGTTCAAAGAAGAATGGTATAATCCATTGGGCTTAAGCTTCATTGGGAGGAGTGTAAACTTAAAAACATGTTTTTAACAATTTTCCCTGGTAGAAGAAATAGAGGCACTGGCTGTGGGAGAAAAAACAAGCAATAGGGATGAAGGGGTACTTATTGTTGATTGATTGTTACTACCACAGGTAATGATTCTGGTTTTTAATTAAAAAAAGACCCGATCATTAGTATCAATAAGATTACCTAAATTTACGTTTTGCTATTAAGTATATGTCGATAGTAAAACTGCAAGCCATTGGGGAAAATAAGCTTTGCCACAGATCTGAAGCTCTGGGAGTGGGGAAGTTAGCATACTAAGCTATGTACAGGAAAATGTGTGGCAACACATTTAGAAAGACAGATTCTAAGTTATACTTATAAAATATCAGCTCTGAGCTTTTTGTGAGTATTTCAGAAGGGATCATTCAAACTGTTTCTAATAGGTATTTGGCTGATGTGCTGTTTATTATAGTCAAAGACAGGAAGGAAATGCTGGACAATTTGAAAACAGGTATAAAAAAATTATTTCAAGATCAGACGCTTTCAATCATATGTATATGTGTGTGTGTGTGTGTACATATGTATATATATATTTCCACTATTTGGTAGGAAAGCCAAAAAAAGATAGCTGGGAAAGAAAAAGAGACGAGTAACTAAAGAGATACTAAACCATGAGAAGACATTAAAATCAAAGAGGACTTCTCAGTCTTGAAAGATGACACTGTGGTTAAAAAACAAAACAAAATGTAGGCTGAACAGACTTCTTTATCAAACCCTGCAGAACTGAATAGAAGATAGTTGTTGATGCTCAAAGGAGGAAAGTTTATGATAAAAGAAAATAACTCCTGCCTAATGCTTTATAGTTTACAAAGCAGTTTCAACTTTGTCATTGCACTTGACCTTTAGACAACACTGAGGGGAAGATAGGGGATGAGTGATTATTCACACTTTACAGATGATAAACGGGAGAATAAATGATGTGGCTAAGTTGACACTAGTAAGCCGTGGAGTCGGGATCAAAACTGGCTCTGACTTCAGAGACATGTGCAAACTCGGGGCCTGTACCACGATTTGGAAGCCACTGGATCAGTAACACAGTATGTTGAGCCTGGTGCTTTGGTGATTTAAAATGTGATGTCACTTTACACCTATTTAAAATGTTATGTCGAAACCAGACATTAAAAACAAAAACAAAAAACAAAACCCTTTGCCATTGAGTTGATTCTAACTCATAGCAACCCTATAGAACAGAGTACAACTGCCCGGTCAGGTTTCCAACGAGCGGCTGGTAGATTTGAACGGCTGACCTTTTGATTCCAGCCGAGCTCTTAACCACTGTGCCACCAGGGCTCCGAAAACTATACATAATGAGGTTAAAATGTAAAATTTGAATAATATTAAGACCCTAAAGGAAAGCTTTGGCTCTTTGAGGCATTAGCATAACTTTGAAAAGTTGAGATTATAGAGAGCAACTCTGTCATCTCACACGGGCTCCCCTTGTTAGAGGCTGATGGTTAAATAGTATAAATGTATTGCCTTAACCCAATGTAAAGTTTCTTAATTTTTATTTTTACTATACTGTAAGTTTATTTTATCTTATTATTTTGTATCAGAGATGCCTTCTGCTAGGCAAAAAGCAGAAGGATTAAAAAAATCAGTCTTGTGTGAAGAGAAGGACTACAGTACCATGCTAGGTGACTGCACATTGTTCATTTCATAGGCGGTTGGTAATGCCAGAATTTTCAGACTCAGATGATGCATATGTAACGATTATCGGGCCATCTGTGTCTCTCCAGATGCCTGGTGAGAATACCAAGTGTTCCAAACAAGGCTAATGCAGTGGGTTAACCCTAACAACAGGTTAGTTATCCCTCCATGAATAGAGTCTGTAGGAGCCCAACTCAAATCTCGAGGAATTCACAAATTAGGACATTTAATCTAAGAACAAATACTCTTAGTATTTTAGAGATCCTGTTGTATCCTATTTGTTTATCAACTCCTTCCTGCTGCTGCTACACCAGTAGTGTTGTCTGTTCCTTTTGTCTGTTTTTAGCTAAACTAATGAATGTCAAATCATCAGCACTTTTTTAGGTTGCTGGACACTGTTAATATAGTCACCAGTAATTTGTTTTATCAATTAAATAAAACATATTAGCTTAGCCAGTAAAAAAATGTCTGCCTTGAGCTTTATGCTCTTTTAAGAACTGTCTGTATGGGATCAAAGTGACAACAGCAACTCGAAAGATTAGATAGGAACCTTAGGGGACGGTGAGTTTATGTTAATGGGGGAGGAACAACTCAAAAAAGGAGGTGAGAATGGTTGCACAACTCGAAGAATGTAATCAGTGTCACTGAATTGTACGTGTAAAAATGGTTGAATTGGTGTTATGTTTTGCTGTGTATGTTCTCGACAGCAACAACAAAGTAAATTTTTTAAAAAAACAAAAAAAACCCATGATATTAGGAATAACATGGACAGAACAGGGTAGCTTGCTAATTTTTAGGTTGCTGGCATTTTTCAAGTAAATAAAGGCAAAGTGTGCATACTTGAGGTTGGAGGGCTATTGTTGGCTCCTGGCAAAGGAAGCAAATAGCCTTACAGTTACCAGTGACAAAGTAGTTTAATAGGAACTAATGTTGAAATAATGAGAAACTATAATGAAAGGTAATAGAGCAGTTTAGGAACACACAAGTTAGTTGCTAAGGGTTGTGTACTCTACAGTGGGAATACTTGTGTATGTGTGAGTAAGTTACTCAGCAGAGTATTCCGTCTTTTTGGCATCTTTAGCATATCTTTTGAATTAACTATAGCACAAGTTTTGGCAAACTATGACCAAATCTGACCTGCTGTCTGTTTTTCTACGACCCATGAGCTAAGAATGGATATTCCATTTTTAAACGGTTAAGGAAAGAGAGAGATTTCATAACACATGAAAATTACATGAAATTCAAATATGAGTGTCCATAAATAAAGTTTTATTGGAGTACAGCCACACTCATTTTTTTCTGTGTTGCCTGTAGTGCTTTTGTGATACAACGGCAGCATTGAGGAGCTGCAAGAGAGACCGCATGGCCCACAAAGCCTAAAATGTTTGCTGTATGGCCCTTTACAGGAAAAGTTTGCCAACCCCTGTTATTGCAAACTTTATTAATATTTGAAATTAGAGTTTTCCCCCTTTTTCATGTGATTTTTTTTGAATAGTAAAGTTTTATCAAATGGAAGCGCCAATACTTTTTTAGTGGAGTATATCTCCTGTTTTATAAGGAGGACAGTGAAAGACAGGGGCTATTCACTGAACATGAAGGGTTTTTTTTGTAATTTATCTCAACAGCCAAGGGCTCACTCCATTAGAAATTGTTTTCTTCTGAATATGTGCCTCCAAAATTGTGTGCAAATAGATTCACCAATGATTCCTCTGATTCCTGTCTGTATATGCCACTTCTCTCCTCAAGAGGTAGAGTCTGCTGACCGGGATCACAACAGAGGGTTCTGGACAGAGCTGGAGAAGGATGTAGAACAAAATTCGAACACACAATAAAAGACCAGATTTACTGGCCTGACAGACTGGAGAAACCCCGAGAGTATGGCCCCCGGACACCCATTTAGCTCAGTAATGAAGTCACTCCCGAGGTTCACCGTTCAGCCGGGGATGGGACAGCCCCATAAAACAAAACGGGACTAATGAGACACAGCAGTCCGGGGGCAAGGACTAGAAGGCAGAAGGGGACAGGAAAGCTGGTGATAGGGAACCCAAGGTTGAGTAAGGACAGTGTTGACATGTCATGGGGTTGTTAACCATTGTCATAGAGCAATATGTGTACTAACTGTTTAATGAGAAAATAGTTGTTCTGTAAACATTCACCTAAAGTACAATTTAAAAAAAAAATTAAAAAAGAGGTAGAGTCTGTTCTCCTCCCTTTGACTCTTGACTAGTCCTCTGACTTATTGTGGCCCATAGAATGTGGTAGATGTGATGCTGTGTTACTTCAGGCATAGACCTTTAGAGACCTTGCAGCTTCAGCTGCCATGTGAAAGAGGCTTAAGCTAGACTACTGAGTGAGAAGCCACATGGCAGAGAAGTAAGGCGCCCCAGCCAACAACCATCATCAAGACCTAGATGTATGAGTGAGGTCCTCTTATAGATCCTCTAGCCCCAGCTGAGCCAGCATGTGCAACATCATGTGACTGAGCCCTGCTCAAATTCTTGAACCACAAAATTGTGAGCCAATAAAATGATTGTTGCTTTAAGCCACTAAGTTTTGGGATGGTTTGTTACGCAGCATTATATAACTGAAAAAATTTGAGAATATAAGCAAAACTTTTTACTGGGATAGATGAAAGGGAAAAAATATCCTTTACTATAGGATGTTAATAAAGAACTGTAGTTAAATAATACTACAGTTGTATGCTTGAGTTCATGGTTCATGTGGTTCATCTGAAAAATCACATAGCTATTCTTATAATTATAAAAAATAATGCAGGCTTAATGGAGAAAATTTAGAAAAGGGTAGAAAATTCTAAAGAACAGTGTTTAAATTACTCATACTTCTACCATCTAGCAATAATCACTATGAGTTCTGTTTTATATTATTTCTAATATAATCTTATTTTATAAAACTATAAAAAACGTAGAGCCATATATGTGGATGTATAAACCCGATGTGATTACATTGGGGAAAGTGAAGCCTACACTGGCTCTTTGCTGTAGTCCCGGAAGTGGTACTTAATTTCTTACAAATTGTCGAAAGGGGCATAGGCAGAGCTAAAACTGATGCAATTGTTGTTTTTCAGGCAATTAAAAATAAAATTCAAAAAATTAAAATTTAATGTAATTTTTGATGTCATTTATTCCTAATGCTTTAAAAGAATTGAAACTAATGTCCTGGCCCTGTAAAATCTGTTAATAAAATTGATGGTCAGCTCTTTATTTAGAAGAACCAGAGGGCAGATGAATGTGTTAGTGTGTTTAGATTCCTTTAAGAGCCCTTAGTGGCCTATCATATTGACTCTTCATTAAAACACACTCAGCTGCCTTTTAATAAACCCTCAAATTGTTGCCATTATTTAGACTTCAGCTAGAAGGCTGCTTGAGTGCCCTAGTGCCTGACTGAAATCCTAAGTTATATTTAGCATCATTAAAAAAAAAAAAAGAAGAAATTCTGATTGTTTTAGGACCTATTATTGCTTGGAATGAGCTAATCTAAGCAAATAATATATAGGAAATAGAAGACTAGAGGTGATTTTGAGGACTTTTTTTTATTTCAACTTTTCACTGCAGCCCTGGTAGTGCAGTGGTTAAGAGCTATGGTTGCTAACCAAAAGGTTAGCAGTTCGAATCCACCAGCCTCTCCTTGGAAACCCTGTGGGGCAGTTCTACTCTGTCCAGTAGGGTTGCTATAAGTCAGAACCGACTTGACGGACAACAGATTTGGTTTGATTTTTTGGAATACCCAGTGAGCAGACACACTAGAGCAGCAATTCTCAACCCAGTTGACCTGATATCTCCTTTTTTGTAGAACATATATATTGTAATCTCCTTTACTACCTTGATGTGAAGTTCATAGATTACATAAACTATATACACATATAATTTTTTTTTTAAAAAACGAATATAATGGCCTAACTATAACATAAAAGAGAAATATAAGGGAAGTAATTTCCAATAGGAATTTCTGGGTAGTACAAACAGTTAAGGTGCTTGGCTGCTAACTGACAAGTTGGAGGTTCAAGTCCACCCCGAGGCACCTTGGAAGAAAGGCCTGGTGATCTACATCTAGAAAATCTGCCATTGAAAACTCTATGGAGCACGGTTCTACTCTTATAACACGTGGGGTCACCATGAGTCGGAATCGACTTGATGACAACTGGTTATTTGCAACAAAATAATGTACTTTTTATTCTGGTTCTAGTAATGGCAGAGTAGCTTGTGTCAAACTAACCCTCCCACAGATAACAGTTATAAACTCTGGTTTAAATCTTTATTCCCACCGCATACACACACACAAACACAAACGTGTTATCCTTTGTGTGGAAGTTAGGGGTCTGTAACATGGAAATGATAGTCCTGAATTGCTTGGTTGCTTGCTTAGTTCAAGTCTCTGCTAAAAAGAGGTCTTTCCTGACTGACTCCCTGATACAAACGAGCAAACCTCCTAATGCCCTGTACTTCTCAACCTTTTCAACTAAGACCTTTCCTCCTGTAGCTCTTAGTACTGTTTGATATTACATGTATATTTTTTATTGTCTCTTCTCCCACTAAAACAGAAGCTCCATGAGGGTAAGGAATGTTCCTCTTTTGTTCATCACTCAGCACCTAGAACAGTGCCTGGAATATAGTAGGTGCTCAATAAATTTCAGTTGAACAACTGTCTTAGCTGGTGCTGCTGTAACAGAAATACCACAAGTGGATGACTTTCAAGAAGAGAAATTTATTGTCTCATGGTTCAGGAGGCTAGAAGTCTGAATTCAGGGCCCCGGCTCTAGGGGAAGGCTCTCTGTCTGCTTTGGGGGAAGATCCTTGTCTCTGTTAGCTTCTGTAGCCTCTGTGTTCCTTGGCAATCTTCATGTGGTGTCTATCCCCCCCATCCCCTTTGTGCTTCATCTGTGTCTGTTGTTGCAGTTGAGTCCTCTCTATCTAATCTACTCTTTTTATAACTCAGAGGTGATTAGGTTTAAGACACACCCTACATTGGTACGTCCTCATTAACATAATAAAGAAAACCGTTTTCCCGAAAGGGATTGTACCCACAGGTGTAGGGGTTAGGTGCCTTCTAGTCGATTTCAATTCATAGCAACCCTGTGTAACAGAGTAGAGCTCACCATAAGGGTTTTTTAGGCTGTAATCTTCATGGGAACAGATCGCCAGGTCTTTCTCCCGTGGAGCCACTGGGTGGGTTTGAACCACCAACCTTTTGGTTAGCAGCCACCAGGGCTCCTTAACACATATTTTTTGGGGGCACAATTCAATCCATAATGAAATGAATCCTCTATTTCTTCCTCTTGTTCTATCATTCCTCAGCAGAAAGGGCCTGTGAATAGCTGAAGTGTGGGCAACAGTCAAAAAATGTCTCCCTCATCAGGCCATCATTGAGCCCAAAAATTCCCTCTGATTAGTCTCTTTCCCTTGTTCCTCTAGATTAGAAAGTCTCTTTTGAAGTGAAATGATGTATTAGATGAAGAGACTCACCACCTGTAACTTTTTCCTGTCACATTCAGGTTTTTAGACTACCCCTCTTGATCTGGCAATATGTATATTAAATGCCATTTCATTCAAGCAGTGAGGCGGAAAGCTGAGCGATTATCAACTTGGATGTCATTTAAAGATTCTGATTCAGGACTAATTGCTGCTTGACCTCTTGGAGTGATCACACTTATTACTGTAAGTTCTATTGGTGGCAATTTCTAAAAGAAGGGAATACTTTTTGATTAATTTAGATGCAGCCTTAACTTTGTTATTTAATGCAGCTTGATAAAGAGTCTTATTAAGCAGAAGAAATTTGTGAAACCAAAGTACATATTACCTGGACCACAGTTTTTGAGCCTATGCTCTCAGTGGAATAATACCTTTGAAAAATGCTCTATGTTGAATCTTGAAGAGGAGAGAAACCGAAGAAGAGCCATAGGGAAGAACAGGAGCTGAGCTGCCATTATGGGCCAGTGGAATGAGTAGGAGTTTGTGGGATGGCAGCAATTTGTCCATTTGCCTGTGAATGGGATTGAGAAATAACTGACCAGTGTCTCCAAAGTATTTAAGCAATAGATAATAAATTATGTTGCTTTACCAAAATGTAAATCAGTTTCCTTCTTCCAAGTTGGGAAATGCCAGAGAAATAGCATTCAAGGATGATAGCCAAGCAATAGTAAGGGCTTAACCCTTCCTGGTATTTTCTATCCTCTGAATATTATGTGGAGTGAGTATAACAGTCCATTTGTGGAATTGTAGTTCTCATGTCATAAGAAATATATTACATTGATCATTTAAGGGAAACATACTGTTTGTGAAGGGATTGTTTTCATTACTTGTAATGGCCTATGGACATTTCTTATTTACTGCTTTCTTTTTTTTAAACAGTATTATAGAAGTTAAAGGTGTCAGATAATACTTCATTGTAATGGTGTCTATGATACAAGAATTTCATTTGTTTGCCACTTTCTCTGCTGGTGTGTTAATACACACGTTGTTTCCAGTATATTTAGTAAATGTGCCAGTCAACTTTGTATGAATAAGAAACAATGTAAATTGTAAGGATGAAAAGACCAGAACCATGTCACTTACCAAAGATGACTATTCTGGGCTATGATTTCTTAAGGCAATTTAATAAGTTCTCTTTTATTAATGGTTACCTTCGCTATCTTTTAACTGCCCATGAAAAGTATAGTTGGAAATTGCTTTTAAAAAATTGGTTAGTAGCCCAAATGCTATAAGGAATCTCTAATAATAAAATTCCATTTTTAGAAAATATTTTCATCAATTGTCAGCTGAGGCCAGGAGTAAAGAACTGCATCTAGTATAGTGACTGACATATAATTGATGCACAATAAATGTTTATTGAATTCATAACTGGATGGCTGAAGGAATGAACTTTAAGTAGAAAAAGCAGCCAGTTTCTCTTTTTCTGTTCCCTTTTATCTGTCTGTCTGTCTATCTACTGTCTATCTGTCTATCTTTCTATCTCTCTCTCTCCCTCCCTCCCTCTCTCTTTCATCAGTATAGCATGGTTCTTAGGAATAGAGGTGACTATAAGTATGGAAATAGTGCTTTTGAAGGGAGGAGTTACCAAAAAAAGTGATAAAAATGTAAGACTAAAGGGATTATTAGAGAAGAGTATTAATACAGATGTGAAGGGTAGTTAATGTTTTGAAAATACCATGTGCAAACATTGTCTACTAGTTGCTCTAAGTCTAAGATGTTAAGGAAAGTCAAAGTCTGTTTCCCTGTGTTAAATGTTTACTTCTTAGCATGAGATACATATAATACCAAATTAGAAACAGGAAAAGGCAGAAGGAGAGCAAAGGTTCTGTGGATAACCAAAAGGGTGGGTAAAGAAGCCGTGCTTGCACAGCACAGTTCTGAAGAAAATAAGTTGATAGTTCTGTTGGCAAAATGACTTTTCATTTGGCTGTGATATTCGTCTGGGATGGCTCTGAATTCAGTAAAATTAAAGCTAAAGTAAAACCTAGTCTGTTGGAGGGAATGTATAATTAACCCATACAAATTAGTGCCATCCTGTATATTACTGACGAAAAAGGATTAAATACTGGTATGAATAAAAATAGTATCTATTATTGTTCTCCTTGGGATAAAATTATAAGGACTGTCAATCATCCTGTTTAAGGATGTAGTTTATTATTGGCTGGGTTGGGAACAGTGCTTTCTGTCTCCCTATTACATAATCGTCCACAATCAGATGAATACAGGCAGTCCCTGGGTTATGAACATCCTACTTACATACATCCCATAGTTATGAACCAACCCTATAAACCTATTACATTAAAAATTCACAGAACCAAAAAAACACAGAACCAAACCTGTTGCCATCAAGTCAATTCCAACTCATAAAAACCCTGTAGGACAGAGTAGAACTGCCCCATAGGATTTCCAAGGAGTGGCTGGTAGATTTGAATTGCTGACCTTTTGGTTAGCAGCCAAGCTCTTAATCACTGTGTCACCAGAGCTCTGAGGTACATACAGTGGTTCATAATAACAAACAGGTGCTACTTTACAATGCGCATCTAAACGTTATTATTATTACTGTATTATTACGTTAAAGATGTTTTAGTGTATCTGGAAGTGTTTCTTTAATGCTTTTTATGCATAGAAGGGTACACTGTATACTATATACCAAGACAAACATTTGACTAACTAACATTAGATATGAATCGTACCTAACTGTTCTGACTTACGTACAAATTTGACTTAAAGACAGATTTTGGAACAGAGCTTGTTTATAATCTGGGGACTGCCTGGGGATTGAAATTTTTTTTTTTCCCTTTTCTTTTCTCAGAAGGATCTGGTTTTAGGTGCTATAGGAACAGAACAGGAAGTTACAGTTGTTTTGGAATTGTATTTATTATATATTTAAATGCTATTAGAATAATTTTTGTACCTTTTAAAACTTCTTTCTGGATATTACATGTGACTTTATGTCAATATGCCCTGGACTTGAAACAATGCCTAGACCAAAGTATACCTGGATTCTAGTCCGAGGTCTACCTTTGACTGCTGTGGTCATTTTAATTAATTAATTCATAAACACTGCATTTTCCTGCATTAAGTCTGGACATAACAAAAATGAATAAAATCTGGTTCCTGTCCTTAAAGAATTATAAGCATATTTATAACGCAGCACAGATAGAGATGTGCATGGACTATTTTGTAACATAAGGGAAAGAAACCAAACCCTCCTTGGTAGAGAGCAGTGGGGAAGTCTTCCTGGAGGAGGTGATACCTGAGACCAGTCTAAGTAGCCACACTAGGGGGAATCGGGATTCATAAGGCATTTGGGCCAGGGCAGTAGCACAGCAAATCCTGTACTGAGGTGTTTCAGAGGAGGAGTCACGGGTCCAGGAGGTGTCCCTGGACAGAGGGCAGGAGGTGAGGCTGGAGGAATGAGAGCTCTAGATCTCCATTTCCTTATCTAAAAATGAGCCTGTGTTAAAGCTAGAAGGCTTCTAAGGATCTGATTCATTTTCTCTAAAACTTTTATGCGGCTGCTTTTTGGTTAATAACATATTAACCTGCTGGCCTACCTTTATAGTCTATTGAGAGCTGAATATTAGTGTCTTGAGTTTGGCAACATTTTGAACTAGGACATTATAAAACAGAGTTGGCATGGCTCATGTTTGAATTGTCATACTTTTCCGTTATGTTCCTTTTTCTGTATTTGTTGGTGTATGTCTTGGTGTCTGCCTTGTTGCCTAAGGCTCTCTGTATGTCTCTCTCTGCCCTTTCTTACCTGTCCTTCTGGTATTTATCTCTGCATCGATTTCTCTGGACTTAAGCATTCACTATATTTTCTCTGACCCTTCCCCCATCCCATCCACCTTATGCGTAGGCATCCCACATATTTAGCTGGATTTGTCCTTATCCTGGCTGCTTGTCTGTACTCTCACTGCACCTTTGACAAACATATTTTCCATTTTCAAAAATTTGCATTAGAGAGAAGTATGTGTATATAAGGAGCTGAAGTATGTTTGTAAGATTAAATCACTGTGCATAGTGAATCTCTATCATTTTTGTAATTCTCTGGAAATAGATGTGAAGGTGTAGATAGATTCACTTTTCAAGGACAGTGCATTGGAGTCTTTTTAAGTTGCATCCTTCCCCTAAGAGTTTTGAGGCAGCCAGAGGGAGCTTTGTCTCTAGAGTGCTAATGCTAATATATTATTTGAGATATAATGGCATTAAGTGTGTTAGATGTCCAAGCTCCTTTTTTTCTTTTTTTAAACATCAACTGCATATTGTTGATTGTTCTTTATCCTTAGGAGAGTACGAATTACAAAGAGCCTTTTTGGAGGAAAAACCCTTGGTTTAGGCTGAGCCGTACTTTATTTGGTTTTTGTTGTTAGGGAATATATGTAAAATATAGCTGCATATTTTTGTAAGAGTTTTGACTTACAGTGAAACATTGGTTGCCAAAAGAAATTATTTCTTATTAACAATGTTATATTATTAGTTACTCTGATAATTTATTCCTCCCAGTGGGTGCTAGTCCAAACATTTTTTATGTTTCCTAATGGTAATGGGCCTGCCTGCGTACTTCATGAAAGAACAGCCGCTTCTTGACACTTAGCTAGAAAAATATTCTTGGAAGAGAGTGTTGGACTGCCAATTTCTCTTTCTCCCTCTCGGTGTACATGTGTGCATGCTTGTGCAGATTCCAACTAAATCTGGAAATTAAGGCAATTAAAAGTGAGAACTGTCTCTTCCCAGTAATTTTTTTCCAAGTCTCAACTTAAATGGCTTTTCTTCAAGAAAACCTTCCCTGTCCCCTCAGGTCAGGTGCATCCTTTTGCCCCTCCACACCCAGCATTCCCTCTGTCACAGTCAGCACTCTGTGCTTGCTTACACAGAGTCGAAGCTTCATGCAGCAGGGACCTGGGCTGTCTTGTTTACTGCTGTGTCTCCAGCCCTGCCGGACACTTTGGCTGCTGCCATGTAGCTGCATGACCTAGTAGTGTTGTTGTGAGGATTAAGTGAGATGATTTAAGAAAACCCCTCAGAACAGTGACTGACCATAGTAAGTAATTATTAAGAATTAATCATGTGCACTGCCTCCATCCAAAAGAGACTAGTAGTTAAGGTTCACTAGGTCGTTCTTCTCCCTTCTCTGCATTTTGATTTATTCATATTTCTTCCTACAATTGTTTACTGCCAGA